GTCTGCAGGCTGAGAAGTGGCACCAAGAGCTCCTAGGAGTTCGCGAGGAGCTCGCTGTGAAGGTCAACCAAGTGAATGAGCTGAGCAAGAAGTTGCAGGAGAGCCTCACCCCATCCAAGGATGAGAATCCCATCACAGCGGCTAACAAAAAGGCACGTGAATTCGAGCTGCGTTACGAACAGGCCAGAATCGAAATTGAATCGCTCTCCAAAGAGCTAGCCAAGGCTCGCGAGCATGGCGATCAGTTCTACAAGATGTCCCAGTCCGCAGAGAGCGAAATCAAACGATTGCATGAAATGCACGCCGAGACCGTGGCCAAGTCCGATGCGGAAATCAAGAAATTGAAGAGCTCTGAGGCTGAGCTGCAGACACGAGTCACTGATCTGGAGGCTGAACTACTGCTCGCCAATGTAACTGAACAGAGCAAGTCCACCAATCAGTCGGATCAGCTGAAGACCACCCAGGAGGAGCTCAAGACTGTGCTGGAGAAGCTGACCGAATCGGGTCGCACCATTCGCAACCTGCGCACTGAGAACTCAACGCTGGCCGAATCCCTCAATTCCGTCGAGGTCAAGTATGCAAATGAGATGATGCTACACTCCGCTGATATTCAGGAGCTGACCAAATTCAAGGCGGACTTCTTGAAGGTATGTTAAAAGTCAAGGATCTGATATTGACTCTACTGAATAATAAATAATATTTGCTTCTAGATGCAAGACGAACTCAATCAATTGAAGTGCGGACGTGAAGCCCTGCAAGCAGCCCATGATGAACTAAAAAAAGCGAACTCCGAGGCTCAGGGTCTGCTGCAAAAAGAGAAAGAAGAGTCAGAGAAACGTGTCGCTGACTTGAATGCGCTCAACTCCAGTCTGCACGATCAGATTGAGGCACTGACCACGAAGCTAGCCGCGCTCGCCAAGTCGGCGTCCAATCAAAATGCTCTCAACGATTCGCTGCTCGACAGCTCTTCCACTTTGGATTTAAATAGCTCGTCGGCTCTGGATGATGTGAAGAACAGCGAGCAGCTCCTGAAGATTATCAAATTCTTACGCAAGGAGAAGGATCTGTACGCGGCTAAACTAGATATTCTAAAAGCAGAGAATGCACGGCTCGTCTCGGAGCACACGATTCTGCAGAAGAAGGTGGACGAGTTGAATGGTTACCTCAAGCAGGAGCGCTCCAAGAGCGAAACCGATGTTGTCTCAGCTGCCAAGCATGAGGCGGTGCTACGCAAGATAGAAACCCTCAATGCCATCACCGATAGCAATCGCATTTTGCGCGAGGAGCGCAATACGCTGACCAAGCGGGTGAGCGAACTGACGGAGCGCATTAGCAGCTTGGAGAAAGAGCTGTTCCCGCTGCAGTGTAGCAACAAGGAGCTAACGTCCAAGATTGAGGAACTGAATGTGGAGAACACCTCGCTGCGCACCGAGGCCATCAAGTGGCGTCAACGTGCCAATGCTCTGGTCGAGAAGAGCAACAGGAACCCGGAGGAATTCAAGCGCTTGCAAGGAGAACGTGAGCATCTGGCCAAGCTGCTGACTGCCGAAAAGGAAGCAAGCAAGAAACAGTCGGATGAACTGGCTGCCCTCAAGGCACGCTTGGACAACGAGCTGCCAGCGCTGAACAAGCTTTTGCAGCTGCAAGATGAATCGCGTAAGAAGCAGATGGAGGAGGCCAATGCGCTCAAGCAGGCGAACACGCGACACGCTCAGGACATCATGGAGCTGAAGAATCGCCTGCTCCAGAAGGAGGAGGAGCTGTTAAAGGCGCAAGAAGAGCTCGAGTCCAAGGATAAGACCATACAGGACAAGGAAAGCAAGGAGTTAATGCTGCGCAAGCTGGCAAAGCGCTACAAGGACTACTATACGGGCCTGCAGGCACAGACTGGCGGCAACGATACTGTTGCCGAGCTGGAGAAGGTGCGTTCCGAGTTGGACGAACTGAACAATACCATGCGTAGCACCAAGGAGCAGCATGAACAGCTGCAGAAGGAGTACGATGATCTCAAGTCGCGCTCCAACATGGATCAGGACGGCGGCGAGGCCAAGCAGAAGATCGAGCACCTGCTGCAGGAGCTGACCGTAACCAAGACCGAGCTAGCCAACCAGGAGACAACGTTTGCAGGCACCAAGACCAGCTACGACGAGACTGTGCAACGTCTGGAGAAGGAGCTGCAGGAGCACATTGCCAGCAACAAGGACATCAATGCTCGTCTAACGCGCGAAAATGAATCCCTTCACATGAGAATCAATCAGCTGCAGCGCCAGCTGGGATCTCAGCAGTCCACCAAGCCATCCACCAGTTCTGTGGGCATGGTCGAGAAGGGCAACATCTCCGAATCCTCGCCACGCACGGCCAATGTGAAGCCCATGTCCGGCTCGGCTACCGTTCAGCAATCGGCCACGGTCACTCCATGGCGTGGCGGAGAGACGCCCCTGGCTAGCATTCGTCCAATTTCGGTGCAGAACAGTCGCACGGCTGCCATACTGCCCACCAGCCAGCAGCCAGGCGCCTCTACCTCTACTTCGACATCGACGTCCACTTCATCGGCTGCCGCTGCTTCGGGTAGCAGCAGCAGCAGCAGCAGCTCCTCCTCCGCTGTGGGCAACACGGCTTTAGTGCCGCCACAGCAGCAGGTGCATACCACAGGCAGTGCCACCTTGGAGTCGATGGCCTCTTCGTCGCCCACATCATCGCACACAGATTACATGCCCTCAACCAGTTCGGCGGCTGTGGCCGTGGCGGCCATTCCGCCCATGGGCGCGACAGCTGCGGCGGAGAGCTCCCAAGAGGCGGAAAGCGTGCAGCATCCGCAACAGAATGATGGACAACTCTTTGCGGGGGGTACACAGCAACAGGTGGTGGCACTCGTCTCACCGCGTGTGGAGGGCTCCTCGTCGTCATCTTCTAGCAGCACAACAACATCGACTTCCACACAGAATCCAACTGTTCCTAGCGTCCAGGAGGCGAGCATTCAACAACAGCCCAGTACCTCGGGTAGCAGCAGCAGCTCATCCACTGTGGTGAGCAGCCACAGTCGCCACACTCCCTCCAGCAGCAATGTAACCACCAGTCAAGCAGGATGCTCCAAGCGACCGCGTGATGTGGAGGGCGACTCCTCCACCAATGCTGAAGAGGGTGTGCCCGAAAAGATCGTAAAGCTGGCAAAGCGTCTGCGGGCGCCTATGCACGGCGGCGAGCTGTCTGCCGGGCATATTGGAGATTCCGGCATGGATGTGGATCAGATGCCCACATCGTCGCAGCGTGACCAAGAGGATGATATTCAGGTCGAAGACTCTGATGATGAGGAGGAAGATGTGTTGGGGCCCATTGATGGCGGGGATGCTGAGCAGGAAGAGGGCTACGAGGACTCCTACGAACAAGACAACGAAATGGAAGACAATGCTGATGCACCCGATCAGCACAACGAAGTCGACATTGAACAGGTGCAGATGCAGGCTCAGGCCGAGGGACAGTTGCTCGAGGATTCGCCTGCCACCGTCTCTACACAAGAGAATAATCAAAGCCAGGCCATAACCAGCGGCAGCGGCGAATCGAATACCCTCCAAATGCCGCAACCGGAGGCCAATTGGAAACAGCAGGCGCCTTCCACATCCTCAGCAGCTGCACGTCGCACTGAGAGGTGAGTATCTCAATATAACTCTAGAGAAGATTGTGACTATAACTTTCCCCTTTCCCGATTTTAGCTCCGTTGAAATCGTCAGCTCCCCACAAGTATCCAACTTTAGCGAACAGCCCACATGCGTAGAGGCGGAGGTCGATGGCACAGCTGTSGCAGAAGCCGCAGCAGCAGCAGACGAAAGCGCCGGCACGAGCGTTGATTGCACCGCCGCCCTCGCCAGCTCGCCGCAGAAGCCAAACGAGGCCGCCGAACAGAGCACCAGCAGTCAGGCTGCCGAGGCCAAAGACAAGTCAGATGAAAGTGAGACAGCAGGTGCAGAGAACGTGAGCGAAGCAGATGAAGCCTTTGCCGAAGAGACAGCTCCAGGTCAGGCAGAGGACTCCCAGCAACAAAGCAATGAGAGTAAGTAGAGTTGGGATTGTTGTGCAAAGAACGATAACTAACTGAGCTATAAATCACACACAGATCCAAATGTGGGAACCAGTCAGTCCGTAGAGACAGATAACCCGGATAACCAGGCCGAAGGACCCTCGGAAGAAAACGAGGGCGCCGATGGGGTCTCATCAGAGGGCGAAAAACAGGCTGTTGAAGTTGAGGTAATATTTTAAATGGCTTATTGTACACGAAGAAAAGTATCAATATCTACAAATGTATTTATTTTACCAGGAGGAAGGTCGCGAAGCTGAGGCAACATCTCCGTCGGAGAACACACGCTTCCGCACGCTGCGCAGCACAGTGCCCACACGACGCGGCGGTCGCTCTTTGATGCGTGGTGGCAATTCAAACAATAACAACAACAACAACAATGCCAACAGGCCGGCGCGCATTGTCTGGCAGCGTGATTCACAGCCTGGCAACATGCGCGGAGGTCATCCAGGTAACCAAGACCCCAACATGCCCAGCGGATCACCCAACACAAATCGTATGTTCGCCAATCGTTCCCGAGGCCGTCGGCCCATGCGTCGTCCCGGACCAAACAACTTCAATGCCGGCGGCGGCCCCGGCGGATACCCTTGAGAAGAGAGCGAAGAGTCTGGCACAGGCTGACTTTAATCCATACTGGTAGTTCATAAGACTAGGCATTTAAATACATACATATACACATATAAGACCAACTGAAAATACAAAATACAAATATTAAATGCTCAACATTGTATTAAACTATGAATTGAATTATGTCCCAAAGTGTAGCGCCGTCAGAGCCCGCCTTCTGGCTAAGCTATTCTTTGCAGCTAAAATATCCGGGATAGATTCCAAGTTCCCAGAAGTTAATCTTCATTTCCATCCACTGAAAGCAGATATTTCATTAATCAATCTGCAAAGGAGTTGAATTCAAAGATTTCACTTTTGTTGTTTTTTGTTTTGTTTATTTAGATTTGTTAAACCCTAACTCTGGAAACTGATAGATGTATCATCATCTAAGATCTTGGGCGCTCCTTCTTTTCCTTGTAAAGTGCCAACAGGGAAACGTTGGCGACTTTGACGACCTTGAAACGGACACCGGGAATATCACCGACAGCGTGGCCCTTACGACCGAAACCGGCAACCAAAACCTCGTCGTTCTCCTCAATGTAGTTCAAGCTACCGTCACGGGGCACGAATGCGGTAATCTTCTTGCCGTTCTTGATCAGCTGAACCCTCACGCACTTGCGGATGGCAGAGTTGGGCTGTTTGGCTTCAACACCACTGCAAGCAGAGAGAATGAAAATAGGTTTTAATTAGTTAGTAAAATAATATGATAGCTAGCAGATGATTTTAATTTAATTTGTTGTTGTTTCAGCCGATAACTCACAGTATAATCCTGTGATTTGATTTTCATAATAAACAAAACACAAAAATATACTGCGAGACATCGAATGTGTTCAAATAATTCAAATAAAAATCTTAACCAATTCAGAATAAATATGTTACTTACACCTTCTCAAGTACAATGCCCTTGGCGTGGGATGCACCACCGAAGGGATTGGCCTTCCATCTGGTGCCCAAGTGAGCCTTCTTGTAGTCCTTGTCGGCCCAACGCTGGTCGCGACGGTGGTTCACATGCTTTCTGGCAGTGCGCAGACCTCTAGGCTTGCCTGTAAATAACAATCACATATTTGTTCGTTTATTTACTTATACACTCAAATGTATATGCATCTAATTGGTTTTAAGAACAACAAACACAATGTAAACAAATGGCAAATGGAGCGGCGGCTATTTGAGGTTAGTTTGAATACGACGTTGTGAGTTGCACTAAATATGAAATCTTGTACAAATAACAATTGTAATAATTCTATTGCAAAGCAATTTGACTGTTACACAATTTATTAACTTGATATGTTAGACGATTCTTTTAATATTAACGGATTTTTTACAGACATAAAATTGTATCCCAAATTGCAAATTGTAGCTCGAGAAGTTTTGAACAAGTTTAGACGCCGGCTCTTTTGTATTCACTTACATTTGCTGCTGCACAGCTATTAAAATTCGTTTTGCACTCTGTTTAACAACGCAATATGCGTATTTATCACAAAAATCACTCTTTTTTAACCACTCACCCATATTTTTCCAACTATCTCAGGCAATGGCGGAAATAAAAGAAAGAGGAAGAGCTCAATTCCTCTTCTTCGCGGCAATGTTTGTAGAGCTGATTCGAATATATCGATATTTTGAAAATGGAACACAAGAAGTCCGATAGTTTTCGGCGCTGCCACCTGCCGTGAACAGCTCTGTTGCAAAGTGCTGCCCATAATAATATGCAACAACTTAACTGTTATTCGAACATTGTTTACCCTATAAATATATCATATACTTGCTTTGATAGCTAAATTTATTTTCTATTCAAATATGGAGTAAAATCGAGAAAAAAGATTTCTGCAATTTCTTAGAGAATAAAGTAGAGCATATTATTGACTGATGCATACTCCTTAGCATCTGTTGTGTAGCGCAGCAAAAATTCATAAACAAAAAGGTATTTCATATAGCCACACTCGCTAAACAAACGGACAGTTCCTAGACAAACATCAATTTCTCTTGTTATACGCTACGGATAAAATACAATTGTTTTTCGAGTGCACCCAAAATGAGTTCAATTCGCAAAAAATTGGTCATTGTTGGCGATGGAGCATGTGGCAAGACGTGCCTCTTGACTGTCTTTTGCAAAGATAGTTTCCCCTTGGATTATGTGCCAACCGTTTTCGAAACATATGTCGCAGATGTGGAAGTTGAAGGATCACAGGTTTGTTTAATTAGTTGATTCACTAAACAACTACGCCATTGTTATCTAGAATGGGCAATGCTACAGGTATACGCACTCTTTTATTTATATTGTACTGATGCTTCATGTGTGTCTCTATACATATATAAATATAAAGAGAGTGTTATTTAGTACAGATCTTATTTTAGTTTTCGCAATATGCTGGGCCCCTATTCAATGTATGATTCACGTCGAGGTTATCGCAATTCTCTGCTGCTTTTCTGAGCAGCAATTCAAATTTGCGTTTCAAGTGCTCTTTCAATACGAAATTTATACATATACATATATATTTGGCTAAAATACATGTTTTCATGTATTTATATGTTTTTTCTTCTCTCAAGGTGGAATTGGCTCTGTGGGATACTGCTGGTCAGGAGGATTATGATCGCTTGCGTCTTTTAAGCTATCCGGATACAGATGTTATTGTCATGTGCTTCTCCATTGATTTACCTGATTCGCTGGAGAATATTCAAGATAAATGGATACCCGAGGTGAAGCACTTTTGTCCAAATGTTCCCATTATTTTAGTGGGAAACAAACGAGATTTGCGCCATGACCCGGATACCATTAGGGTACGTGTTATCAACTCCAAATCTTAAATATTTACTAAATCAAATTTTTTTTATTTTGATTAGGAACTATCATTACAAAAGCAACAACCCGTTCAAACGGAACAAGGTTTTACTATGGCTGAAATCGTAAATGCTTTTGCATATCTTGAATGCTCAGCCAAAATGCAGGAGGGCGTGCGGGAAGTTTTTGAAACAGCGACGAGAGCCTCTCTGCAAGTGAAAAAGAGAAAGAAGAGATCGGGATGTTGGAGCTTATCGTGTAAGCTGCTCTAGTTGAATTTGATTATCGATAAAATTATCCTATCGAAAGTTACGTATCCATTTTCGACTCCATCCGTTAGAATTATATTATACAGACTTGTTGGTAATTCTCATCAAAAAGTATTTCCTGCCGCTTTTAACAAATTAACGAATGATATGAAAAATGTTAAGAAAACAAACTAATAAAAAATATTTCTGTTATTATAACCTTTTTTTATATTTATAGATAATGCAATGGAAAAGTACTTTAGAAAATTGAATTTGAAGTACACGTTAAAGAATATTTTTGGGCTGGATAATAAGTTGGTATTTCCCAAGTTATTTCCTATTCTTCAATAGAATAGTGGGAAATAAATTAATATCTTATCTAATATAAAATTGGAATAATCAACTCGACCAATTTGCAGTTCGATCTGAAAGGGTTTTGCCGTTTTTATCACCTGTAGCTTATCAATTAAAACTCAAGGCAAAATTCAATCTGATAGGCCTTCGTATTTAGCACTATCACGTGCCAATCCCAATATTTTATAATATACCCACTATAGAGTATGATAAGTTAAGCCTTATATGCAAAATTATATCACGGAAAGTTCGAGAAGTGACCAAAAGTCAAATTAAAAACAGGGTATGAAAAAAAAAAACTGTGCTATGCGATAAGCATAATTCAAAATAAGAGCTCTTATTTTAGAGTTTATTTTGGGTTTCACATTTAACAGTCGGTCGCATGTGCGCGCATTGAATCATGTGAAGTTCATAGAACGTTTAATGAATTCCAATTCCGATTCCCATGATTTGCACTTTTTTTTAGATGTTTTGTCTTTTCTGTCCAATCATGATAGTTCATATCTTGAACTATTTCATAATTTATGGCAATTATTTCAAGCCATTTAGCCAAAATTGTGTGTGTATGTGTGTGCTATGCCGGTAACCTGTTAACTGTCGAAATAAAACTGAAAAAAACGTGAATGGATCTCATTCAAAATAACTTGTTAGTGGAAAAAGCCACAGCACACACACTCAATATACCATAATTACTAATACAAATATAAACACAAGCGGACAAACATGCCTGATATCCATACAAAACAGAAAGAAAAAACTTCCCTTCTTCTGAGATACAAAACTTAAAAAAAAGATACAAATGAGTCAAAGAAAAATATCATCGAAATTGAGAGAATTCTGAGAAGAAGCAACAGCAGCAAAAGAAACAACAATCAACACACTTGATTGTATTGGTATCGGTATCGGAATCGAAATCACATTGCGTATACGTACAATGTATGCGTTTGTGTGTGTGTGTTTGCTGCTGTTGTTGTTCAGTTTTTTTGGCAGGCCATTTTGTCTCACAAGCGCTAAGACGAAAGCAAGGGCGATGACAAGAGTGTCCACATGTTAGAGAGCTAGACTGAGAGAGAGACATAAAGTGAGAGCGTGCGCTTACACTCTCAGCAAAATTCGTCTCATCAAGTACCCTACGCACAGCCATCATATACCCACACAGTTGCAGTTACACTCACACATGCGCAGTGTTCTGCTTGGGCAGCGCGCCATGTTTTTAGTTTCGCCGGTTGTTGTTGTTGTAACAWTTTTATGTTGGCTAACGTTGACGCTATTATTGACGCTGCTGCTGCTGTTACTGTTGTTGTTGTTGTTGTGTCATTTTCATTAACGACGCCGTATGCACGATAACGTAGAGCGTAATGAAAGAGTTGGGCTAGATGGTCGGTTTAAGGCGGAGGGAGGAGAGGCGACAAAGTTTCGTTCTCTGATAATGTGCGTTTGAAAGAACGCGCGAAGCACAACAACAAAATGCCGAAAGCAAACACAAACACAAGCACATGCAAACATCAAATAAAAACACATGCTTCGTGTGTGCGTGTGCACGTATGTGTGAGTCCGAGCGTGTGCTGCTCAGTTCTCGTGGGAAGGTGCCTTCGTATCGTGAAGCAGCCTGCTGAGTACTGTTTTTGCGTTGCTTGTGTTTGTATTGGTGCTGCTGCTGCTGTTGCTGTTGCTGTTGCTGCTGCTGCTATTGCTGCTGCTGCTGCTATTGCTGCTGCTGCTGCTATTGCTGTTGTTGCTTTCTGCTTTGTGGTTTATACTGCCAACACATTTCCATTTCCCTTTAGTTATCTTTAGTCAGTCGCTCGGATTGGTCGGTAAGCGCGCGATCAATTACGCATTGCAAAGCGCCAAAGCGCCGCTGAGAATAGAATACCAAAACAACAGCTTAAAACACGAAATAAAAAATAAAAAACAAAATATAATAAAAACAACAACACAGAATAAGTAAAATAAAACAAAATAGAACATCTATTAAAACGAATCCCAACGAATTTATTTGAAACGCGTGCCGTTCGCATGCGGAGGCAGGTCGCACATTTCATATGCTACACATATGTACAAAGAGTAATATACCTATAGAAGCATACACACACACATGAACTTGCAGAGAACGGTACACGGGGATCGTACGAACAGCTGCTAAACTGCTACAGATAATCAGATACAGATACATATACTAGAAGTATTTATAAGCGCGTTCGCTCTCCTCGTCTTGCGTTCGGCTCGGTTTCTAAATTGAGGCGTTTTTTACAGTTAACTTTCGCTTTTTTTTGTGCTGTGCTGCGGTTCACGTTTGCTTTCGCTTTCTCGCATAAGAAATTCTTTGCACTGCCCACGACTAGGCGGCCAGAAATAGATCAAAAAATAGAAAACCAAAAAGCAAATACGACTACAAGAACTAGAGGCGCGACCGGGTTCTAATTTGAACGAAAAAAAAAAACTGAAATACTCAACAAATTGAAAGCTGCAACAGACGCCACAACAGCCAAACATAACACAACAGCAACGACAACAACAACAACAACATCAAAAGGTAAGCGCAAGAGGGCTAACACACACACACACACAGAAATGCGCGCGCGCGCAGTCAGCCAAGTATACAGCCAAGATACAGATGAATGGCTAAAAAGACTTGGCCTTATGCCTGTGTCACATGACCGCGCCCCGCCTCACAGCCCCTGCCAGGGCCAGAAACGAGTTTGTTTTTTTTTTTGTTTGACTAAGAGCAGCAACCAACAACAACACACACGTCGCGCCGTCTGGCAGCAACTTCAATTGAGACTCCGCGCACACCGGCCGGGAACTTAGTCACAAATTGTTAATGTTCTAACTTTAAGTCCAAGAAAAGATGCAGAGCGACGCGACGCGACGCGACTTTAATATATGTATGTAGATATATATGTACATATATGTACATAGGTACGTTTAATGTCGTCGCCGTCTTCTTTGGCTTTGGCGTGAAGAGTCATCATGCCAATACCAGGAATCAGGAACCAGAAACACGTTAACACGTAAACGGCTTTCGTGTGCCTTTTATGGGCGTTTTTCGCTGACGTTGTTTCGTTCCGATGTTGCTTTTCAGTTTTTGCTTTCCTGAACTTGAAAAACAAGCGAGAAGAAAATCAGCTTAAGTCTAGATCGATATTTTTACAGCTACAGCTGCAGCAACAGCAACAGCTACAACTTGAAAGACGTGAGATAGTTATGCAAATGCGTTACCAAGAACTAATTGGCCTGAACCCCTTCTTACAAGTAATTCACGTTTATCTTAATGCCAAACACAATTATCATACAAATTACTCTGAAACTGAAAAAAAACTCAAAAATTGTTTTATAGTCGATTTTTAGGCAAAAATAAATAGGCATAAAAATAAAGTAAATAAGAGTGTGCCAGTTGGGAGCGCTCGACTGGTAGATGCCCTGTAGTTTTTTTCCATTTTCGATTTTGCATAGATTGTGCAAGCTGTCCAATAAATGTAGTGCTCAATTAACAATATCAATATATCAAATTGGGCAGTTCTAGTGCCCACAAAGTGCGTGATAAGGCCAACGACTAAAATTTTATATCGGCTTTAATCAATTTCCTGGAAATGGAATAAATTCCTGATAGGTTGATTTGCGTAAGCTATAGAAGAGTTTATTAAGAGAATTTGAAATATGTGGTGTAGAGTTATACATTCTTCTTCTTACTTTTGCCCGTTACATAATTTTTGTCAAAATGCATATAATTCGTTCTCTGCCTGTCAGTATTTTAAGGGTATCAAAAAAAGAGCGACACACCCTTTCTACCTATTTTGCGAGTGCTATGCTTATCCAGACATGACTGTGCGCTGACTCACCCATAGAAAACCCACTAAAATAGCATAGGAAACAAACAAAAAAGTCAAGAAAATAAAATAATATATACATATGTTGGCATTTGTTCAAGGCCTTTTGCTCTGTCTTTGATCTTTGGGAGCGACTTCTTGACTTTCCTTTCAAACCGGTTGCTTGGTAGAATGAAAAAAAAAATCAAGTCAACTTTTAGTTGATACGTTATTGACATCTCGCGATTATATCATTTACATAATCAGTTTAAAGAAGAAGAAGAAAATGCATATCACCTTCACAAATTAAAGCAAAAGGTATTTAGTGGGAAACGTGTCATCGACACGAGGCAGGCGCGGGGGACTAAAATTCGTGAATGAATATACATATAACAGAGAGAAAGCAAACGGTGCTCAAGAGATAACTAAACAAAAGATTATAAAATTTTTTATAAATTTAATAGAAAAGCAAGTACTCATCCAGATGTGCGGATGTAATAAAAGTTATAATATAATATAATATACTACTTGAAGATAAAGAACAAATATATGTAAGATTATGTGAAATTTAGTTGTAGTCGACTGAAAGATAAAGATAACTTTATCAAGGAAATGTGTTTCTTCTAACGGAAAACAGAGAAATGAATTCTTGAATATATTGAATATGAATATATATTAGAAAATTTCATGTCTTTTAACTATGTCATGCGGATAGTATAGTATGTATGTATGCATATGAAAATAATTACAAATTAAATACATGAAAGCTAAACTGACAGCTCGATAAACAAAACTGTTATTCTACTAAATATATAATATGAATCCTTAGTTAGCTCTCACCAAAACACAGATTGTTAATTCAAAGGAATATGACGTCAGTAGGATCTCAAGAAGCATTAGAACTGCCAATGACGTTGAAGCTGCCACTAAAACTGTTACAGATACAGATATAGATAGCAATTCTGAATCTGATTCATACGTTAACGTTCCCAATATACCAAGACACCCAATTACATACTAATTGTGGCATGTGTCTGGCAAATATTTCAATTAAATTAATTAATAAGCAAAAGCAAACTAGGCTAAGTAGCAAATGGCATGGAATAGGTATTTATTAAGTATAGATTGTTCATATATATATTTATTTATTTATATATATTTGAGTTATTTGTGTTGCAGTAAACAAGTTTTGCGCATTTACAATGCAACATAGAGACAGAAAGAGAGAGATAGAGACATTCAGTCAGTCAGTCAATCATTCATTGCCAAATAACTGAGATTTCAAGCTTCAAGTTTTTTTTTTTTTTTCAAAATTCTTGCGGTTTTTTCCGAGACTCTTTTTTTTCGTTGGATATGCCTCAGCGCGCTTGCGTGTGGAACCTTAAAGAAATACATATAGATTTCTATATATACATACATACATTTATATAAATTGAGTGCACACAAAATAACAAAATAAATCTTTCCACATCTTATGAAAAAATAAAAATATTATTGCCCCACAACGAAACTTTTACGTTAATCAGTTCAGAAAATATTTACATATTTGCAGTTGATTAGGGCTGAGCTGAGCTGAGCTGAGCTGTTGATTGATAGCGTTGATAAGCTTGTGCTCCGAGCAGCTGGATGACAATTCACAAATGCAGGTTTACAGCTTGTTTGCGATTAAATATAAGTGTATAATATTTATACATTTCTGTCTTATCAGATTTGCTGTAAATTCGAAAGCGTTTTGGCGCCAATGTCAAAACAACGGAGAGCACAGCGCGTGTATCGGTATTTGTGTCTGTAAATGTATCTGTATCTTTTACTGTCTGTGATTGAAGCTTGAGCAAGCGCCTGATTAAAGACACGTGCAGATAACCTCGTCAGAAATCAATTTACAATACATTTCCATTTAGAAATCAGCGTCAAGTCTCCATGTGTCTATCCCTCTCTCTCTCTCTTGCTCTCTCTTTGCCACTCATATGTGTATGCAATGCAATTGCTGCTGGTTTGTAAATATATATAAATACAATATTTGTATTAAGATCTTATCAGATTTGCTGTAAATTCGAAAGCTTTTTGGTGCCAATGTCAGAGCGACGGGGGCACAGCTTGTATCTGCACCTTCAGCTCCAATTGTATCTGTGGCTGTAAAAGTATCTATAGCTCTCAATAAATCTGTATCTCTTTGATTGTGCGTGAGTTCTGCTGTGCTTCAAGTCACGTGCTGATAACCCCATCAAAAATCAATTTACATTGATAAATCTGTGACAAGTGTCTCTCTCTTCCTCTTCCACACTCTCTCTCTCTCTCTCTCTCTCTCTCTCTCTCTCTCTCTTTGTGCGCCTCTCGAATGCATCTGATCAAATAATTGCCAAACTTAGTTGAATTTTCCATAACTTAAACATGTTAATTGATTTTGAATCGCATGCTCCACTTCCGACAAAGAGTGCTCGGGCACTGAAACACACACACACACACACACACATTTGTTTTGTATATGTATTTCTTTTTTGGGTTGTACGAGACCCAGGCGACCATTGATCGCTCCACTAATTGTTCATTGACACTGGTAGTGCCACCAAAGAGCTGACATGCCTTTGTTCGTGCCGATAGTGGCGACAGCAACAGCAACAGTAACAACAACAGTAACTGGAGCTGATAAAGTGCGTCCCGCATCTGCGCTATACTATACATCTACATATATAAGCTTTATAAACTTTATAAGCAACGTGCATATAATCTATGCCGCACAGCTGTTAACGAAAGGAAATAACTATCTTAAGTATGCCAGACCTCGAATTCATTTGCAGACAGTTGAACTTTAGTCTTAAGATAATTTATATATTAGCATAAAAATGTGTATATGTGTATATGCATATATAGATATCTCTATCTATATCGATATTTTAATTATACAGAATATAAATTCATTGAACGTTTCTTCAATCATTTCATTAATTAAAAAATTCAATTCAACTTCCTTAACTGATTTGTGTTGAAAGTCTAAGTAATTAAATGATCTTGTTAAGCATATCTGGATAATATTGAATACTTTCGACAAATTTAAGATCTCTAATGGGATAACATTTAGCTYATTATGCGCTCTTCTTCTTCTCATCAGTGAGAGAGTCCCACATTTGTGTTAATTACTGATAAATATTCAAGAGATTGGAGTTTGAGTTTGCACAATCTAAATCAAATATCAAACTGAAATCAATCCTTGATTATTCCATGCCTATTTCCATTTCCGTTTTGATGTCTCATTTATGTGCACGAATTATGAAGAATTGATTTGAGTCGGCCAGACATGACATTGATATTCCTTTAGCCAACTTTCAATCATTATATTATATCTTATCATATCATATATTGTCAGGAAGTTTTTCTAATTTTTTTTTTAAGCCTTAAGTGTGCCATTCGTAACAATTAGTTCTTAAAAAATTAAAACTATATTTAAAGATAAGATATTTATATGTCCAGATATATTCAGTATTTGCTGTATTATCACTTGCTGAAAATTGAAATGAATACCGCAAGTTTAGCTAAAGATGTCTCATGTCTGATAATAAATTCATTTAAAATCGTCTATAAATCTCCGTCACCTTCTGCGCATGCGCAACTTTTGGACTTTAAACTGTGAGTCAGGTGAATGAATGTTTGGCATCCACTATGACTGTGACTCTGACTCTGACTCTGACTCTGATTAAGAGTCTGACTCGTGGTCTGACGCTGTCTTGGTGTCTGTGGCTGTGGCTGGGTGAAAGGCCGTTCAATGAACTTGGCAAGCCCAAGCGCCGTCAGTTGCTTTAAAATGTTTCACAAATAATTTGGGCCAACTTTTGGAGTGGCGCACGCCCAAAAACAAGAAACAGCTATTGTAGCTCGTGGCCTTATACGGGCGCTGACAACAGGTTGGCATTCCAAAAAGAAATTCAAACAGAAACATTGGCTAATTAATATTTTGAGCAGAAAATCATTTAATGTAGCTACAAATTATGGAACACACGCACACACACACACACGCGCACATGCCACATGTTTTGAGGAAAAGAGACAGCCGGATATAAATAAAATACACAAACAAAGAAGGCGCATAAGACAGATACAGAAATGCTAACAGCTACATATCTATGTATCTACATAGATACGTTTACATATGTACGCACAGTTATGCTAAAAGGAAAACCCAGCAATGGGAAAAGCAATAATGCTACTTGTTGTCGGTCTGCCTGAGTAGTGCTGCCTCTCTTTCTCTCCCCTTCTCACTCATCTCTTTGTAACCACATGTTGTCACCTATAATATTTATTAATTCAATCGACGGGCATCAGTTTAAGAGCTGTCAGCAATCGCATTGAACAGCTGTAACCAGGCATCGAAGGTGGGACGAGGAAGGAGATGGAGCAGGGGACAGGGATGGCGACGGACATGGTCTGCAGTGGCAAGCGGGCTACTTTAGCTGATGGATGGACGCTAGTGTTTGCTCACAGCGGGATTAGCTTACAACCAGGCTAAGGACAACAACTCCGCTCCATGCCACATAGCATCTGTACGCAGTGTCTGTGTGGCATAAATGACATAAAACGCCGCCGAACCCAGCGCCACGGCAGTGCAAATAAAAAAAAAGCCTGTTTACAGAACAGGCAGTGCACGACTAGCAGATACTCTCTAAAAGGTTATATAAATCTAAGGGATTAAAACAGACACGGATAGAGACAGAGCTGGAGATAAGGATAATAACGAAAAATATAGAAAGGAAGAACGTAGATAACGAGTAAAAGACTAGTAGAGGGAGAGAAAGAATGAATTTTCATTGGGCATCGAGAGAGAGAGAGAGAGGCAGAGAGTCGAGGGACAGTAGATATCGAATAAATGGATTGTAAAGAGAGATAGAGAGTAGCCAGAGACCTAACAATGCTCTCTAAGAGAAAAACCAAAATACTTGTATATACGTAACCAATCCCTTATCTTAATAAACCAATCAACTTGGCGCATAAATCCAAGTATTACGGTGTAATTTCCATAGACACCCGCTTTCCACGCACATCTCATATTTACTCAGAGGGTATTCCTGGTGTTGGGTTTGCGTTTGGCATGGATTCAGTCTGTCTGAGTTGTGCAACTGGGCGCGTTCTCCTGTCCCGCAGTCGTCGTTTTGTACTTTGCACAAAAACCAAATGGTTCGATTTCGTTCAACAAGTTGACAACGAACGGTCTATTTATAGTTGGGGTTAGCTGCAAGCCAGTTAGGAGTAGACACAGAGAACAACAACAGGAAGAAGAAGAAGAAGCAGCAGCAATAGTAGTACTTGTCTGGCTTCACTCGGGCAACGTGCTGAGCCGTTTCCTACCGCCCGGCAAACACTTTGGCCTGACCGTTGGGCAAATAAAAAACAAAAACAAAGAAGCAATCATGAAATACGAGACTCGCGCCAGCAATAATAACAATAATAATAATATTGCATAATAAACAAAAGTGTTAAAGGGTTTCGACGACGCCTATCTTAAACCACCACAAGCACATATCAACATGGTATATATGTATATACAGATGTATATATATGGACTTATATGGTGCACCATAAATTGGGTTAATCTAGAAAATCAAATAGATTGGCCGAAGCAAGTCACATGCCGCCCGATTTTGGGTTACCAAGTGGCCTTAGTGGACACACTTATCTGGGTGTTTGGGCCATGATGGTGCAACAAACCCGTATCTTGGTCAAACGCAAATCTGGCTGAATCAATTGATTTATGCCCTGCATTTAAGGGTATTTATAAAGTATTTATTCTATAGTTTACGAATGGCTGGTGTTGCTAGTTAGCAGACAATAAACTATTTACAATGCTCTAATCAGCAGCTAATCGCCTGGGTTTTATTTGTTTTTTAGAAAACATTTACGCCCGGGGTTGCCAGGCAATAAAATGAGCAATTCAAAACCGCAAATAAATAACTGTACATGCGGTAAACAGCAGGGTTGTCAAGTGCCACGAATATGTTAAATAATCTGTGTAAAGCGGCCATTCATTAGCATTATACGAATATCTATGACAAATTGCTGACATCGTAAATCTTAGCCAGTTTGTGTGTTGCCTTTATCTAGGCTAGCCATATGATTAGCCAAAATATATGGCTGGATTGGAGGATTTGAATGAGGGCTGGGATTTAGCCTTATGATTTGAAGTGTACCGGCTGACAGGCATTTATTGAAATATATGGTATATGATATATGACATATACATATATAATAATTAATATTCATATTTATGYATATATGTAAATCGTATATTGAATATATATTTTCAGTGTATAATTATAGTTATTAAATTATAACTATATAAAAAATATAAATCATCAAAGATATGCTGCTTAGAGATTCGACTGAGATATACAGTGTTAGTTTTTTTTTTATTATAAAATGAAATGAATTCTTAATAATAAATATGTAAAAACAGAATGACTTTCCTTGAATTCTTCTTTTCCCATTCTTATTATGAGAAATAAACTCTTGAATAAGAACTTGCTTATGATAAATTATTAAGTCTAAGCCCAGTCGAGAAAATCTTTATAGCAAGCCATTATATATGATGTCTCTAAGCCTTAAGCATCATAACTCATCTTCTTCATTAAACAATTAAAAGCATTTTGTATGCCTTACAAATGTCGTTAATATCTTAATTGTGGGTTTATTATATATTATATATGTACTGGGCTACTGTCCGATAAATCCACATTTCACAATGTATTTTTCAGGCAGCGCAAACATTTTGTAAGCCAAATAAATGTGTCGCAACAAAGTGTTGCAGTACTTTGCGTTTATAGCGGTCATAAGCCCAAATGCCTATGCATTCGTATTCGCATCCAGATCAGATTAGATAAGGCCAAAAATAAAGAATCAAGGTCGTAAGCTTTGCCGCGCGGGTGCAAAGAAAATGAACCAAAAAAAAAAAAAAATTAGTTAAAAGTACATAAAAAACAGTATATATAAATATAT